GGAAAAAATATCCCAAATTCTCCTTCCTGCTCCAAAGGTGCTGCAGCTTCTAGCCACATTCTGAGCATTAATGATGTCTTGGGGAGATTAACTTAAAATCTGCCTGTTGGGGCACACACATCTCAGTTCCCAAAGGCTTGCTCTCACACAGCCAGCTGTGGTTTAGTGGTTTGGCTCAGGGCTCTTGTCCCTGACTTGGGAAAGGCCACCAGAAGGAGGGAATTTGTCCACATCCTCCTGTGCCAACAGAGCAAGGCACCCACGTTTGTGCTCTTATCACACAAGAAAATTGAACCCTGCATGTTTGCCAGATACAGAACACTTCTAAAGGGCTCCTAAAGCGATTCACTGACAGAATTAATGTCCTGGGACATTTGGAGTAGAGCAAAAAACCCCAGGACTTGGCATCTGAGTCATTGGAAGTAGGAGCTGCTGAGGGTGGAGTTCAGGCCTCTGTGATACAGACAGTGCTGAGGGGTGACAGGGGATGGCAGTCCTGCCAGGAGGTCCCTGTCCCTCAGGTGGGATGCAGAGGGCTGCTCTGCTCCCTGGAGGCACCCACACCATTTGCAGAGTGATGCCATGATGAGTTTGCAGCCCTGATCCAAACATGTGGGAAAGTGGGTGAAAAGAGCTGCCATGAAAGCCCCTGAGAACAGCATCAGGATTTCCCGGAAAGCCCTTCTCTTTTACTGATTCACCATCATTTTTAAATGCAGGTTTTGAGCTTTCTTTGGAGTCTAATTAAGGCCCCAATCAGTTAACATGATGAAAAACTTTCCCAACAGCAGCATATCAAACACGCAGAAGCAACAGTTCTGCTCCTCTCAAAGCGAGCCCGACTCGCCTTTGCTCATGTGAGGGCACCATGCTGAGTAAAAAGGAAAAACCACGTTCTTCATCAGCACTTCACAGTGAAATTTAAGTTGTCAGCTCCTCTCGGGAAATCCTGATGCAACACCCAGCCCGTCCCTGTGAAGCGGAGCTCGGTGAATGTTTAATTATGCCTCGGAACAAACGCACATCGCTGCGTGGGGGCTGCGAGGAGCCATCTGAGCCTGCATGCTAAGCTGCTCTGTCCCACAAGCAGCTCCTTCAATAGCATTTGCTTATCAAAAATAATTAGAGGTAGGAATGCTGGAACTGCGATTATGAAACAAATGGTAAATCTATTTGCTGAGATGAAATGTATTGAAAGATACATCGAGACACAGCTGGAGACTGAGGTGATACCACAAGGATAACAACTCGAGATCCAATTTCATCTTTCATGATTAAAAAATGAGCAAGAAAGTGTTTTATGAAAAGTGAAGGTTAACAAATGTTCCTTCACAAGCAATGACGACAGTTTATCTTTTGAAACAAATGATCAGGCTGTGGTGTGCTCGCAGCTCCTGGAACACGCTGGAAGGATTTCTGCTGAAAACCCACCGGGGATCAGCACACAGGGCTGGCAGCCCACCGTGCTCCCAGGGCCTGGGACAAAGCCAGCTCCACAGGGACGCTGCCACAGCAGGGAAGGAGCTGGCACTGTCACTGTCCTGACCCTCTGCCACAAGCCCATGCCTAGCCCCAGTGCCTGCCCTGGCTGTGGCCCACTGACACCTGCCCTCAGGAGGGCCCCAGAGCTGCAAACTGACAACAAAACATTCCAGGAGCCCTCTGACTGAATTCCTCTCACTGTTCTCCAGGTAAAGTGCTCCCTTTGTGGTGCAACCACAGTGTGAAGGATGAAAAGTGATTTTTAGGGATGAATTCTGCTAAAATTTGACTAGGAGACCAAACACCGTGAGCTGTTTAACAAGAAGGAAAAAAATGTGGGTAGAGACTCTAAAAACTACTGATGTGAAGGAACTACATAATGATGGGAATGGTTAATTCTCTAAGAAGAAAAATTCAAATTACCAGGAGGGAACACACAGTAGAGAAGATCGTGACGGCAACTTTAACTCCTTCTATTAATAGAACTAATAGTTAAAATGGAGAAAGAAAGAAAGAAAGAAATATTATGTGTAGAAGGCAATACAAGATGTTTTAAATTAAAAAAAAATTGCTTTATACTTCTGTAAATATGGGACTGTGTAGCAATGCCTCAATCCTCAGAACCTGAAAGGGTCCCTTAGCATCTGGGGAACAGACCCCAGGAGTTCAGCAGAACTCCTCAAAAAACCCCAGTATAATCTAAATTTACCTATTTGTAAGAATAGAAGCCATGATAGCTGTAAAGCTGCCTAAACAGCTGAAAGCTAATTAACAATGCTGTTACAGAATTAATGTTATTCCTTCCTAGCTGAGTCTTCGACAAATTTCCCAGGATATGACAATTCTACTGTTCTTCCCAACAAAAAAACAGTCAAAACTCCAACACCCTAAATTCAGATAAAGGTAAAATTCTTAATGTACAGGCCACATAAGTCTTCACAGTTTAACCATGAGGAACAAATAGCAACAGACTTCCCCCCTGTCAGGACAGGAACTATTCCAACCTTAAAAAGGGAGACAGAGGTGTTACAAGGAACCTTCCAGGCACAGAAGTTTGCTCCAGAGACCACATTTAACTGGTGCTGGGACAGAGGCTGCATGGCCATGGTCAAACACGAGTCCCAACTGTTGCCTTCCATGGTTCAGGTCATGGATTGCCCTCTCTTCACAGAACTGGGACATGGGCCACTTCTTGGAGTCTGCAATGCCTGGCTTCTTTTCCATCCCCAGCACATGCTTCTGGTGTGCCCCAGAAAATTCACATCATCTAGGGGCCAGTGGGAAAATCACAGGTTAAGCTTTTCCACCTCAAAGCAGCATTCTTGGGATAAACCAAGGAAAGAAAGAAAGTGCTCCACAACTCCAGTGGTAAAAAGGTCCTTCTAAACCTAACAGCATCAATACTGCTGTCCTTTGGCACTTTAATATGTCTGATTTGATGCCACACATTATTTTTGTTATGAAACTAGACTAAACCAAAATCAATACGGTGCTTATTAAATGGACAAAACATGGGGTAGCTCATAGGTCTCAAAAAGCAAATGTAAATTGGAAACACTGTGCAGCTCAGTATTTCTAGCAGGGTTCTGCAACATAGAGAATAAAGCTGAATATCTATCTTCAGGGTCAAATTAAAAAAAAAAAAAATCACAAACACAACACTTTTTCAAGACCAGAAATGACAAAGTCAAGTGATAAATAATGAAGTGGAGGATGACAGATGGAGAGACCTAGACCACTTGGCAAGCTGGGTGCAAACAAGATAAAGAAAAGATAATGTATAGAAGATAAAGTACAAACAAATACTTCTGAAAATAATGCAGCTATTCTTCCTGGAAAGAAAACTATTCCTGGAAGTAGCTCTCCTGAGAGATTTTAGGGGTCCCTGTGATAGTATCTAGCATGACCCAATTGTGATACTGTGATGAAAGGCTTCCTCAAAAAGGGAAGATCAAGAACTGAAATCATCTTCACTGACACATCAGAATTATGTCCACAACACAGAAAGAGTATAGCTGAGCTGAGGAAGAACAACCAAAATGCTAATTTGGAGGTGAAATCTCTGTGTTGAATTTGAACTTTCTGGAGCTCATTTTTTTAGCTTAGCATAGACAGGGTGTTAAGGATGCTTCCAGAGTAAGTGACTTGTGACATTAGTAAATACTAAGTTTTGAGGAAGGTACAAAAATTATTTCATTATAGTGAAGACAGTTAACTCTTTCCTTTCACACCCTCAATGTGTTCACCCTTACCCAAACTCCTCTTTCCTCACTTACATTTGGGGACACACTCCACCTAACCAGATGTGGAGCTGCAAGTGCTGCCTGTGTGGCAGAATTTCAGCTGAGATATTTCACGTGTGCCCTGAAGAGTTTCAGCTCTAAAACCCTCCTGTGGGCAGGATGCTCTTGTGCACTGCTGGGCTGAAGGGCAAGGTGACAGCTCCCACATGGCAGCTGATAGACTCAGTCCTTCTGTTTGGCTCACCACTTAATCTCTCATCTTTAGAAGGAGAAACTTGTTTGTTCAAGTTTACAAGGGAAATATTTACTGAAGATTTTCAGAAATACGTTTTACATTGAAACACACGAAGCATCTGAGCAGTGACACTAATCTGGGCAGCCCCTGAACACTGTAAGGTTAGAAGGCATTTTACCTCCCCATCTTACAACAGTATGTTGGGCTTGTTTGGCTTTGGATTCTACTGGTTGAGCTTGCCTGGGAAATGCTATCAGTGCTTGAGGAAAAATAAAAGGAAACACACACATTAGCTGGAGATCAAGTACATTCTTCCAAAGGAAAAACAAAGCTAAAGTCTGAGTGTTTTGCAGTGTGACCCTCATAATAATGTTTGCATTAGGCCTGCTGTCTTATTAATATTCATTTATGTTTGCATAAAGTATTTTGCAGAAAACCCCCATACACATCAGGCAAAAAATCCCATGTGTTGTTATGTATTGCAGACACACACTGACAGAATGGTTCTAACTCCAAGCTAGTGATGGTCTCTGCTGATTTCCTCAGACAAAAACATTTTTCGAAGTTAATCCGTAATTTTTGAGTTTTGCTCTGTTTAGCTAGGAAAGAGACAAGGGCCCCTTGGGAGCAACCTTACTCAAGCCTAGAAGTCTGTCTAAAAGCTATGACTGAAAAAGGTAAAGGTTTGGTCAGGTCTCAATCAACATGCAGGAGTATTGCGTCAGAGATATGCAAGGTGAATTAATAGTTTTTCCTAACTTACTCAGCAAGCAGAGTTTGTTCTTGTTGGTCCATAATAATAATAAAAACTTATGGCCTCCATCTTGTACCTTCACCTAAAAGGAGGATTTCACCTCTCAGACTACTAAATAGGCTAAGTGCAAATAAAAAGCCTTGCCTAGACAGTGGAAGGAACTCCAGTCTCCTCTGGGCAGGGCTGGCCATGCACAAGCACATGTTTTTACATTTTTAGGAAGCCAGAGAGCCGGCAGCACGCCGAGAGGCTTGGGGAAGAGCCCACAGTACGTCCCTGTATTTACCTCAGGTAATCTCTGCGGCAGAGAATGAGATTTGCTTTTGTGTAAAGAGTTGATCCAACCTCTCCAAGACGACAGTCGCAGCAGGCACACTTTAGGCAGTCTTCATGCCAATACTTATCCAGAGCCTTCAGCAGGTACCGGTCCTTGATCTTGCGGTTGCAGCCGGCGCAGCCCTTCTGCTTCCCCTTGGGCTGTACGGAGAGCATCGGCACGCCTGCAAGGCAAACACAGCACTTCCTTCAGAGCAGGGGCTGGGGGCAAACACTGCTGCTGCTGCCATTACAAGGAGCTCACAGCCAAAGGAAGCTCATGTTCATGGAGCTGACAGTCAAAGGAATCCCAACTTCATCTGCTGTCGCAGGCTAACAGGGAGTGCAACGCTCGCAGCCCTTTTTTCCTAAGGGCAGGACTGACACAACGCACCAAACTCTTTCCAACCAACATCTTGCAGCAGAATAAACTGGCTGAAATTTCAACATTTATTTTTTCCCCTCATTACCCACACCCTTGTGTTGTTAATTACCTGCCACAGGCAATTAAAAAGAGCAGAAGGGCCATCACGGTATGTACCCCCCTGATTCAGCATCTGAGCCGAGTTTGATGGGGAAGGGAGAGGAGTGGGTATAAAAAGATGTGGTATGCCACTGTTTTTCCTCTCTTGTGAATCCTGACTGAAAGCCAGAGCAGGCCAGGGGCCGCTCCAAAATAAATTTGATTCAAAAGCCCTTGAGAACTGCTGAAAATAACCCCACCAGCGCCCCTCTGCCACTAATGAAGCCACATTCCTTAAGTAAAGCAGAGCTTTCCTCCTCCTCTTGTATCACTGGAGAAGGTAGCACAAAGCCAGGAGTTTCCTCCTTCCTGGAAAGCCCTGCTGGAACTGCAAAACAGCCACGAGATAGCTGGGTATGAGGTGGTGACAGCACACTCAGCTCAGGAGGCTTGGGGGGACTTGCTGTGGTCACCTTCCCCTCAGTGCTGTGTCCAGCTTTTTCCTTCTCTCCAAGCAGCCAGTGCCTGCCATGGTGAGCACTGTGATGCTCATCAACCCTTCTCAGTTTAAGAGCCAGGCAGGAATGGACTTTATGGAATCAATAAGCAAGGTGGAAAAATAAACAAGGATAGTACTGTGGGTGAGGGACAGGACATGACAGGAAATGATGAAAGAAGAAATTAACTCACTGAGACACCACAATTCGTTATGATTTATATTTTTACTGGTGTCAGTCACTAAAAATGACAATGCTGGGCCTGTAACAAGCACACTGTGGGCTTAACCAATGCAGAGATGATGAGAAGGGACACTGTGGCACAGCAGCAGGTGTCACTGGTTATATACTCTTACACAAAGTTAATCCACCCTTTCTGCAGGAAGCGCTGGATGTCCCAGAAAGCAGCAGCCTGATAATAGAATTATTAACAGTCCCTTAAGCAGAGAGGACCCAGCCAGTGCCACTGCAGTAAGTGACATTTGCTGCTCTCCTTAAAAGCCAGGGTGACCTGAGAGTGGCTAATGGTCAGCACATGTAAACCCACCACTCCCACAGTAATAATTGCTCTGTCAGAGCCCGAGCAGATGACAATAGCACTTAAGACACCTCCACACAAACAGCGAGGTATTGATCCATCTGTAATCAAAGTGGTCTCAGCAGCACAGAGACAGGCCAAGTAACATTCAAAAACCCTTAAAGAACCCTCCTGCCCTCTGCCGCAGCACACTCAAAACCCAAGTCTCTACAAGTAAACTTTGGACACCAGTGACAAACCTGCAATAATTAAGTGAAAATCTGTATCTCTATTAGACTGGCCACATATGCAACCTGTAATGCTCCTGAGAGAAATTCTACAAAGCCACAGAGGAATACACACACATTTGAAAAGAGGGACAAGACAGGGAAGCATCAGAAGTGGATTATGCTGCAGATCAGATTGCACAAGTCCCATGTGACCGGTGAGAGTTTCTTATGAGAATGAGGGAAATGGCCCTGTGGTTCTAGGCACACCTTTGTTTGGTTGTTTGGGTTTTTTTAATCCAAAATACTTCTCAATAGCAAAAAGAAGCTTCCATTTTGAAGTAATTTCCATGCTCTTCCTGACTCCACTCCAGGAAAACTGCACATTGTGAGAAGAGTCTGCCTCATTGTGAGGCAGAGAAGGGTGAACATGTGAATTTGCATTTGCAAGCTGTGTAAGATCAGTACCAGTGATGAAAGAAAATAGTTCGCACCTATGAAAACCAGGACCTAGATGTGAGAATTATGTTTTTAGATAGGAGCCCCAGACACCAGCAAGTCATTATTCACCCCCTAAACAGGCTCTCTAAATGTGTACCCTTAGAGGGAGAGGAGGATTTCTCACAAGAAGGGTCACCACACAATCTTTTTGCAAGGTTTGTGTAGGTAACACAAGGATCCTGCATCTGGAAAGACACAGATTCCACTTAACCAGCACACCTTAAACTCAAGAGAGCTGCTGCATGGATGGGGCTTGAGATCAGCTCTGTACTTCAGAAACACAAGACCCTCAGCCAGATGGGACTTCCCAAAGCCTCACTTTTGAAAGCAGTGCCCTTTCAAAGGTACAGCTGCCCTCACCCAGAGAGAGGGTGCCAATGCAGCAGCAGCAGCAGCATCAAGCACAAGGACAGCTGTGCAGGGATGCTACCCTGGCTGGACCATTAGGAGAGGCTGGTTTGATCATTTAGGGCAGGTAAGGAGGGTCTCCTGTGGCAAGCAGGCCTGGATGGCTGAGGGCTGACTGCAGGGGCAGTTCTTGTTCCATCTGTGGCCCTGGCAGCTCTCGCTCTCCAAAGCCATCTGAGCTCCTCGCTATTGCAAGAGCACCACTGTCTTATGAGAGGCTTCTGCAAGTAAGGGGAATGTAACACTTTGATTTGCTTCTAATAACTAGCAAAGGAACAGATATAGATATATTTTTAAGCAGTACCTTAAGCAAGGAAAAAAGCTATGTATTTGGTCAGCGTTCAGCAGGGGGCTTTCTAATGAAAAAAGGTACCATTTCAGAGATCATATGATGTTCAAAGCTGCTATTCCCACTCAGATAATAACGAGCAAGGTCAGCCTCTGCTGGTCAGGTTCAGTGTTTTGAAATTACATTTTGGGCTGTGAGGTTTCCCTCCGACATCCCAACCAACCGGTCTGCACGGAGCACACAAGCCACTACAGAAAGTTGCAGCTGCAATTAGCTGGTGAGTTGACACAGCAGGCAAGGCGTGAAACAAAATTTCAAAAACTGACAAACTTGATCAGCAAGGGTTCCTCGAACGCTTGCAATGTCATTTCCAAGCAACAAGAGAGAAGCATCTCAGAAGCTTAACCCTTTTCACAGTAAGAGGCTTGCACAGAGAGGACACAATCAACACCAAACCCTGCTTTCCTCCTCCTGCCTCCCCCTTCCAGCAGACCTGAAGCAGCCTGGGCTCTGCAGGCACAAACTACCTGGAGAATTGCTCTTTCTTTTCAGTAATTTCCCCACTGCAAGACTGGGATGTTGCTTCATTTCTCTATGTCCATTTCCTCCCAGTACTTGCCTAGAAATGCCAAGATATCCAGTTCAATTTGATAAGGGACATGCGGCGTCTAACTGGGGCTGTCAAGAAACAAAGGGGTCACCTTTGACAAATTCCACACATGCTCTGTGGAGGAGGATAAGAAAATGAGAAGGAGTGTTGCAGAACTAGAAAAATTAACAGCTGGATGCTCACACATTTAAATACGTGATCACAAGAGAACACTGATTATTGCCAGATTCTGAAAGTACCATCAAGTTGCTCTCTCCTCTCCTGTTGCTAGACATCCAGTGCTCTCTTTTCTTAGAAACAGTAGATGAATCCTTTCTATTTCTGGCTACCTACACTCTCTTCTTTGCCCTTTACAGCTTAATAGACTTGCTGCTGGTAAATACAAAACTAAACCCACTCTGAGTGCTCAGAGCTCCAATACACATTAAAAAATTATAGACACCACCTCTGGACTTACTGAAATTTATGTCTGTGTCTAAAGAGGCTGTTATTGTAGTGAGTAATCCAAACTTTACCACTATTCACAGCCGGACAAACAAGCTTTAATCAGCCCGTATCTGCTCAGTCGGAGTCTTTCTGTAAAATGATTCAGCTGGCCTTATAACACAAGTGTCCACTAAGTACACCTCTAAATTTTTCTAAGCCATTTTACTGATATTTCTATTCACATGGCAATCAGCTGCGGTTCCTCTAAGGGCACTGTTCATAAAGCCTCCTTTCCAAGAGAGCCTGGGAACTTTTCATAAATGGCAGACCTTTTAAATAACAGTTATCTGCACTGGTCCTACGGCGCACGGCTCCACAGTGCTCTGGTCTGCAGCAGAGCTAGAGGTCCCCTCTGAAAGCAGGGAAGTTCACCACCTAATTTCTCTAATGCAACTCTAAAGGTTAATTGGTCTGAAAGAGTAATGGGGGACTGCTAGCTAATGATATATGCCTCAAGGCTTTGCAGCTTGCCTGTATTTTATTCAGTCGAGTCCAGAGCATAAAACACAGGTGATATCACCAGGACTTTTCAGACCCCCTCCACTCCAAGTTGCCCCCCTCAGCTACACCCACATGTGTGGGGAGAAGGCAGCAGGAGCTGGAGGCAGCTCTTTTCCACCTGCATTTCATGGCTTATTAGAGGGGGCTCGGAGAAGTGTGTGGCTGCACTCCTCATTACCTCTGTGGAGAACTAAAAACAACCCTAATGAGGAGAGCCGGAGCGTACAGTACGGGCTGGGAGGAGGGACCTCCTCCCACTCTCCCCAAGGAACCCGGCCAAAATCTTCAATTTGCCATTTATGACAGCTAATTAGTTATTCTATTCAAAATCTTTGCTTTAAATAAAAGAACTAATTATACACAAAGGTCAGTCCCCCACCTCCTGTGAAGCACACATAATTGGCTTATTTCCCCAACATTGTGTGTATGTTTTACACAATGCTTTCAGGCAGATGGCTTTAACTCTTTCCCTCGACAAGTTTTTCGGTGTTGGCTTTTTTGTTGTTGCTGGGACTTTTGTTTGTTTGTTTGTATTTGTTTGGGTTTTTTCCTTGTTGCTGTTCTGTTTTTCTTTTTTTAAAGCCCCAACACCTTTCCTCAGAGTACCTACTTTAAGAGTAAAAGCTTGTTCAACACCAAAGCAAATAACTATACACACACAATACTTCTACTCTGCAAAAGGTTTG